GTTTACATGTCTTTGTCATGTAACAATTTATTGGCATAGAACTTACATATTTAACTAGAGTCCTTTTGCCATGCCAATGGAAATCTTGAATAGCATTCTTATTTACTTCTATGACATGTCATGCCAGTGCATCCTACATTTCTTGCATCTAGTCATACACCACCACACACACAGGATAAAACACAGAGTCAGTTCAAACTAATCCTTCAGTGCCAAACTTAAGAAGGTTGAATTCTTTTATTTTCACCTATTCAAGTTCATTTCTGCAACCCATTTATATCCTGCCTCAAATTCTGATTTTAATAACTCTAGTTTAACTACTTTTTAAAATTTTACTCCACATGGCATATCCCAGTCTCAGAAGAGTATTTCCTCAACTGCCAATGATATTCTTCCTATTTTGCTGTTGTTTTCCAAGCCGTTCTACTGTAAAGTCTCCAGGGACAGGTTCTTGGTGGGAGTTATATCACCAGCAGAGTTCTCCAGAAGGTATCCTTTCTTTTAATTTTTATTGTTTTATAAGGAAGTTATCTGCATTTTATTTAGTTACTATGTAAAATGCACTTCAGAAGGTTGTAGCTTCCAAATGAGTTATTAAGAAAATTCACCTTGTTTCTAAACTTCATAGTTTGTCTTTTTGTTGCTTTTTAGAATGTAGGCACACTGCACACACACATCACGGTCCTCTTGTGTCCTTCCTGTTGCTTCCTGGTAGCCATGGCAGCATGCACAGGGCCTTCTCCTTATTATAGCTACACAATAATATATTGTGTGAGTCATCGGATTTCCCTCCTGGGGAATATTTTAAAGACTTGCAGTGCTTTGCTGCAGTTAATGGTGCCCCAATAAATCTCATTTGCAATCCTTTTCATATTTTTGTCTAGTATTCCATTTGGCATAAGTTCCTAAAAGCAGGAATTATGTTTGTTTGTTTGTTTTCTATTTAGAAAAGACTCTCAAAACTAATCAGAATTCTAGCTGCAGTGGTTACTGATTTTGTTTTGAGTACAGGGATTTGGGGCAGGTTTTTAATTAATAGATTTTGGACCTGTTTATGTGACAGAACAGTGAGAAGACATGATGCCCCAAGTGAAATCACACACCACTTTCACTGAAAACACTAATAGTTTAAATTCATCAGAGAAAGTAGGCAGAGTTCTTAAAAGTAATCACCGTGACGGCACTAAAAGTGGGAGGTGTAAAACCATTGCCTAGGGTCTAAATGTCCCAGGAAGAAAGCTACAATGTTAAATTAGATGTAGAGATTGTCAGCTCTTTCTGAACTTCTGTTTGTTTGGTTCTAATTATTGGGTTCTAGTGTATTCTGCTCTGTTGGCATAAAGACTTGGCTTCTGGTGTGATTAAACATTAATGGTTTTAACTACCCTGTCTGAAAAGGGAGTGATTTGATAGCGTCACACCGGAGCTCTGTATATTCACTATAAGAAAAGGGAGACCTTGCCACCCAAACCTAAAAAAAAAAAAACCTCCAGTTTTCATCACAGTAACATTGAGACCTCATCCTGTGATGAAAGCTCAGCCACCAGGGGGAGCACATCAAAGTTCAGACACCGAAGAGAAGCCCACTTCCATGAATAAACAAGTATCCTCTGCGCGTGTGTGTGTGTGTGTGTGTGTGTGTGTGTGTGTGTGTGTGTGTGTGTGTGTGTGTGTGTGTGTGTGCATGTTTGTGCATGCACAATCAGAAGCTAACAGACAGCCTTGGATGTTGTTCCTCATGAGAGAAGGACTCTGGTTTTATTTGATTTTTTGAGACAACCCCCTCTCCAGTCTCCACCTGGCCTGAAGCTTGCCGAATAGACTAGGCTGGCTGATCCATGAGTCCCACAGATCAGCGTGTTTCCACCTGCCTGATGTTTGAAATGCAAGTGTGTGCCACAAAAACTCAGATCCCTTCTTGGGTTTTAAGGGATCAAATTCAGGCAAACAGTTTACCAAATGCTTCGTCTCCCCAACCGCCACCATCTCATTTTCTTAAGTTAGACAAATGCTTAGAAATCATGGCCTAGTCTAACAACTCCCATGCTACATAATCAATCAATTTGGGTTAAAATAGAAGAGGGTATTATGTGGAGATTGTGTGGTTTTCTAAGTAGTGTAAGAAATCATTTGGCGGATTTTTTGGTGGCAAGAGGTTTTAAAAGCTGAGTTATCTCACGGCCCCTGATGGTTCACTTTCAGTAATGATATGCATTTAGAATTCACCAAAAAACCCACAGATAAACAGGAAGCACTAGGCCCCCATCTTCCCTACCTGGTAGCTGGCGCCTTCTTGCCCAGGTGCTTTTCATCTTGTCTTAGGATGGAGAAGGTCCAGACAATTTGTTATGTGACTGAGTGTACATAACAGGAAGATAGATGTAGAAAGACACAGCTAGATGGGAAATTTGGAATAGGGACTGTGATAGGCAAGCAAGAGGGACCGTAACTCCCTGAAGAACACGGACTGGCAAAAAGAGGGGAGAATTCCTCAAGAATAGGAACTACATGTCTGAGGGTCCCCTGACCGCAGGACCAGTATCGATCCCTGGTGCGTGAGCTAGCTTGTTGGAGCCCATTTCCTAAGGTGGGATGCCATGCTCAGCCTTAATGTGGCAGAGGGGGCGTTGGTCCTGCCTCAACTTAATGGGCCAGGCTTTGTTGACCCCTCGTGGGAGCCCTAACCCTGTGGGAGGAGTGGATGGGAGATGGACTGGGAGTGGGGAGGCTAGCGAGTCAGGAGGAGGGGTCGAGGTGGGAACTGTGGTTGGAATGCAAAATGAAATTTAAAAAGTAAACTTAAAAAAATAAAATAAAAGTGTATAGTGGTCTTTCCAGAAAACTAAAAGAATAGGAACTATAAAAAAAAAAAAAAACATGGTTTTTGGTAAATTATCAAAATAGCAATTCTTTCCTTTCTCCCAGAAGGATGCCCAACTTTCCAAGATTGTAAATGAAGTAGAAGCATTGCTATACTCTGAGCCCTGGCACTCTCATTGTGGAGGAAGAGGGTCATTGTCTGGCTGCTTTGATTAAATCTTAGGACCAGTTAGTAGATACCAAACTGCTAGATAACTCACCGTTCTGTTACAACGGCTTAAGCAACTGTGTGCATCACAGGTCCACATGTCTTATAAAGAGCCCAAGTAAATAGCTCAGAATTTGCTAGTCAAGAGACAGAAACTAGTGTGTCACAAAGAAACCAGAAAACAAGAGCAGGACTAATGGCATCAAGGCTATGGCATGTTTCTATACGTAATGACAATAATGATGTCTTCTTCCCACTTTCCTTTATTTCTCTTTTAGATTCTCAAGACAGTGTCTCATTCTGTAGCCTTGGCTAGCTTGAAACTCACTATGTAGTCGGTCTGCCTACCCTTCCTCCTCCTCTCTCTCTCTCTCTCTCTCTCTCTCTCTCTCTCTCTCTCTCAGATGAAGATGGCCAGGAAGCCTATCTGTTCCTCCTCCTCTTCTTTTCTTCTTCCTTCTCTTCTTCTTCATCTCCTTCTTCCCCCTCTCTCTCATTCTTAATTCATGTCTACTAATAAGAAAGTAGAAATTTTTATTCAGCAGATATCAGTCTGCTTAAACTTGGTTCATTGTTAATGTCCTCAGACACTAAACTGATCACAAGTGTTTATTCATAAAACATCCTTTTATTCTGTGGTCTCTACTAAAGTATGCCAAGGCAGATTTGACCAACAGACTCTAGTGAATTGGTTTCTGCTAGGGGATCACATTTACAGTTTGATTTCAGTTATTTCAATGAACTCTTTTGATTTCTTTACAAACCCCTAATGCCTTCTCTTCAGTGCTATGCACCAAGAACCTACCACATGGAAAATTCTTAGTAAATAATTTCATGAAAATTAAAGATTTTCTTCTAGTCTGTGTACTGAGGTTTGGCTTGCAGGAATCTAACTCTCAGGGTCCAGATTTTGGGAACCCAGAATGAGTAGGGCAAGGAATCCCACCTCATTGGCTTCTGTTCATTCAGCTTGTCACACACCTGACACTAATATCTGTCAATGGCTGGTCTATTCAAGTGACATTACATTTCCCACCTGAAGAAAAAAATGAGGAGAGAAAAATCTTCATATGGGGAGAACTCAATATTTATTTAATATTTTGGAGTGTTTATGATGTTTTGATGACTTGACATTGATTCAGAGAAAATTAATTTAACCATTATTATTCTAAGGCATGAAACCCACAAAATGCTATTTAGCTCACAAATCATCTCTGACCTCATTAGTGAGGTCACGGGTTATCTACTGTAGTTTCTCCTGCACGTTGACGCTCCCATTCTATCACTCCAAATGAGTAGATCAACACCTACCTCCAGGATAGAATTTTCAGGGTCACTGACCATTTCCATCATCTACTTCACTGTAATGGAGAGAGCAGGAGGTGAGTCATCTGTTGCTGGGGGGGGGGTGAGAAAGAAGTCATTAGAAGAAAGTCTGGGATCCCATCTCTAAATACAGTGTTACAAAGGGTAAGTTATAAAGAGGAAAAATTGCTGCCATATTAGCTATTAAGATTATAGATTAAGTAACTCAAAAATTTAATGTAGCATTAATTTATTTTCATGATTAATTTAGGCCATTGACTAATACTAGTCATACAGCAAACACCAACATGGTCATTCACATTTAGGCCAGCAACGTTCTCTGATCTACATTGACTACACTGACAGTAAAACAAAAAACATTAAATTTTATGAACCTCTTGGTTGGGAGCAGGGTGCAGATGATAATTTCAAGAGAACAGACGGGGCACAGTTTGGGAACCAACTTGGTTATGGAGGCGATAAGGCTATCCAAATATTTGTTCTTATCCCATCTGTCTTCCTAAGGCGGCATGTTGCAAATGGGGGGGGGCAAATTCATATGCTTGCATTTTTTAAGCTTAGTTGTAACCATTGTTATCACACAGAGCATACCCCAGGTTACAATTAATCTGATCAAATGATGACTAACTCGTTAGAGCAAAGACTGCTTTCATGGCATGAGATTTTAGATTTCAATGATGCTTGTGTTTGTGTCTGGATTGAACTTCCTAACAGCATCACAAAGTGGGCATGGACTATTTTTCCCATCAATCATTTCTCCATGCATACATACCTACCCTGTGCCTTGTGATGCTGAGGTTGCTGCCACTCGGGAACCTGAGTCTAAACACTTTGATTTTGAGGTCAGCTGTATGGCATAGGACTTTCTTCGTTTATTGGCATGTTAGTTGGCATGACAGACTGATGTTTTCTTGGAAGGCAGTTTATAGGACTCCATTTCCTCCCCTATTTCTTTGTCATAATCATGGTGATATCCCAAGGCTAGCCAACTGCAGCAAAAATTGGTAAATTTGTCCTATGAATGATCAGATAGTAAATGTGGCTGTTTTGTGAGTTGTGGAGGTCTCTTTTACAGCAACTTACTTCATTCTGCCACTGTGGCAGGAAAGAAGTTAGAGAGAATATTAAAATAAGTAAACACAGCTGTGCTCCAAGAACACATCATTTCTGAATACTATCAACATCTAGATTTGTCTCGGAGACCAGAGTCTACCAAGCCCTGTCATGGAGGATGAGACCCACAGAATAACACTGAGTTGGCGCTGGTAATCTTCCTTGAGGTCTCTGCAGATCATTCTGGTTTTAGGTGATTCCCAAGATGTGGATGCACCCGGACATAGAGAACTGCCAGACACAGAAGCTGACAGAGCCAGGCCCCTCAACCCTACTGAGGCCTTGTGCCACCACTGCCTCAAGGGACGCTGTGTATGTAGGATGATTGTGCCAATCAACCACGAACGCAGAGGGCCATGTGTCAAAGCACTTAAGGTTAGAGATGGGGCTCAAAAGGCAGCTAACCACAACGATGATATCTCAGGCACAAGACAGTCTCAGGGCCAGGACTGAAATAAAGGCATTTTACAAACCCAGTATTCTGTTCACATTTTAAACTATTCCAATAAATTTTTGGTGTTGTTTTGTTTTGTTGTTTTTTGCTTGTTTTTGTTTTTTATTTCAAGACAGGGTTTCTCGGTGTAGCCTTGGCTATCCTGGAACTCACTCTGTAGATCAGGCTGGCCTCCAACTCACATAGATCCACCTGCTTCTCAAGTGCTGGGATTAAAGGCATTCCCCACCACTGCCTGGCCTTAACACTTTTTCTCATTGGGAGTTTTAACATTTATTATATGTGTGTGCATCCAAGTTTGATGGGTGTGTGCAAATGTGGAGGTCACAAGACAACTTGGAGTCTGTTTTCTCTTCCCGCCATGTGAGTTCAGGGGATTGAACTCAGATCATCAGGCTTGCTAGTAGGTTCTTAAACCTGCTGGGCCCTCTTGCCTGCCCAACATTTCTCTTAATTGCAGTTTGTTTGTATGAGTGTGGATTTGCATGATTTAAGATAAATTGTGTAGAATTTTATGTGTCTTCTAACTCTTCATTAATTTTCCTGTTAACTGTCAATCATTAAAATCATGTGGCCTTGGTGTCACACCTGGAATATCTTCTTGGAGTCACTAATGCTGATCTCTTGGTGATGTGCTGGGGTCCATATCGTCTTGGTTTGGGTTTTCCAAAAGTCTAGTGAAAGGAAGTAATGGCTCACTTGTGCACACAGTCTCAGTCTCTCCGTCTTTACAGCTCACACTTCATGCAGGGCTGTCAGGGATTTCTGAATTAAATGTGACTCTGGGCCCTGCATTTGCTGACTGAGGAAGCTCATGGGTCCTATAGCTCATCCACCGTCTTGCACTTGAGCTGTCAGGGATGAGCGATTGGTGCCAAATTCAACCCAACATCGACCCTTCCCAGTAGCCTGCCTTCCACAACTCCTCCTTGTCAAATCCAACCGTTTACATAGAATTTACAGTGACTCAAGGACCCCAAAAGGCACATGCACAGTGGTATTACTTTGCCTTGTAGCAGGAAGACCCATCAATGTCCCACAAGACTGACCTTTCAGGCTGGTGGGAGGGTGGGATGGGGAGGGGCTAATCAGAGGGTTTTTTGTGTTGCTCTTTCTCGATGGATTGTTGGGACCTCCCAAAGCAAGAGGCTAAAAGTCCGGGTTGTTCAGCTTTGTAATATCTCCCCCAAAACCCATTTGTTCAGTTGTAAATTATAGAATCCTTTAAGAAATGGTTTGTAAAAGCCAAACAAGACCCCCCTAGGGCTGATTCTCTGGGTGCAAGTGTAATGCAGTGTGGGCCAGAGACTCGACCCTCTTCTCCCTGCTGCCTAAAGAAACTTCTACATATAGAATCAGAGAACTTTGGATCATGGAGGCATTTATTATCCATGTTTTAGAGATTTTAATGGGCCCCACTAATGGCAGGGGTCCAGAGGTTGGGCAATTATACTTTGACAGTTGACTATCTAGACAACCAAGCACAGATAAGATGTTGACTTTCTAGTTAGCAGGACCCATGAAGTGTCCTCTCTCTCTCTGCTCACATCACAGTAGCAGGAAAGAAGAGAGAGGACAAGGTTCCAATATTCTCTTCAAGGGACACCCACAGAAACTTATATCCCTCCCCCACTAGAATCCTCTGCTTAAAGTTTCCAGTACCTCCACAGGACCAGGCACTAAGTGTCCAAGTGCTATTACATATGAACCTTCCAGGGACACTCTTGATTGGCACTATACTGTCCTTCACAGGTAATGCTAAAAATGTCAGCTCTATGGTCCCCTCAGGTTCCCATCACAGGCTAAAACCCCCAACTACAGACCATAGGCAAAGTGGTTTCATTTGGCTAAATGATTCAGGAAAGGCAAGATCAATAAATAACTCCCGTCCCTACCCCTCTCCCCATAAATTCAGTTTCCTTAGTAGATCTCTCAAGACTTAATAGATTCTCTTGTGGATGAAAATTTAGTTAGAAAGTATTCTAAATTTACTTACAGCTATTACTTACTTTGGAACCTGAAATGGGGAATCCTTGGTCACTTTATTTTTCTTAAAGTGGGTTCTGCATTTATACATAGATTTTAGGGCTTAGAGAATATAAAATTTAATATCCATTTTCCCTAATAATTACCTGCAAATGGATATTAAACATTAAGGGCTAAATAGATACATATTAGAATAGCCACAATCCATTCTGCTGTGAGTCTGAGACTTGAAATTTAAAGAACCAGCGAGAGAAATGAGAAAGGTTAAATGTAGCCACTACTCAAAGCGAGGAAGCAGAGCTGCTGATTCCAGGCGACTAAAATAGATGACTTGAGCGCTCACACTGAAGAATTCCTGCTTAAAACATGGTAGTTCATATGCTCCTCATACATAAAACTATTTGATCTTCAAGAAACACCATGAAGCAGGGTAGGCAGACGCAGATGGATCTCTGTGAGTTCGAGGCCAGCCTGGTCTCCAGAGCAAGCAAGTGCCAGGATAGGCTCCAAAGCTACACAGAGAAACCCTGTCTCAAAAAACCAAAAAAGAAAAAAGAAAAGAAAAGAAACACCATGAAAAGAAATTGCAAAAGCACTAATTCAGATACAGTAAGATGGCAGTTCATACCTAGTGTGCACATGTGTGTACATGTGTGTACTTGTGTGTACATGAGTGTCTGTGTGTGCATAAGTGCATGTGCATTAGCGTTTGTATGTGTATGTATTCACATGTGTGTAGTGAGTGTGTACGTGATGACTGTACATTGATGAATGCATTGTGTGTGTGTCTGTGTTTACATGTGTGTGGTGTGTATGCCTGGTATGGGTCTCTGTGTGTATATGTCTGTATGTCTGTATGTGTGTTTTTGTGTGCATGTTTGTCTGTGTCTGTGTCTGTGTATGGTGTGACTACAAATCCAATCCCAGAATTTTAGATCTTTTGCATTTTGATACCCATGTACAAAGCTCCTTGTCTGATGGTTTTGTTTCTGAACATTAGATGTACTCAGACTATCCAAACTGAAATGTCACAATGAGTTTCCTCTTTTGAGACAAACTTAAATGAACAATTCATAAGGGTTACTAAAATTGTTGTTTAAGAAATATGTATTCAGGAGCTGGAGAGATGGCTCAGCAGTTATGAGCATTGACCGCTCTTATAGAGAACTTGGGTTCAGTTCCTAACACCCATGTGGCAGCTCACAACCTCTATGACTCCAGTTCCAGGGGATCTGAAGTCCCCTTCTTACCTCTGTGGGCATTGCATGTATGTGGTGTACATACATGCAGGCAAGCACTCATATATAAACTAAAAACAGGAAAACCCTTTTTTAAAAAGGGATTCATATGCAATAAAAATTGACTCTGCTCAAGTGATGGGAAGGAAAAGGATATACGTGATGACATGTACAAGGAAAATGTTGAGACTTTAATAGTTCACCCTTCTGTATAAGCTTTAAGGATTCACAAATCCATTTGAGGCCAGTAACCTACATTTATGTGGGTTGGTGTATTCTTACAAATACTTCTCTTTTGTGTTTGTATATTTATCTTTTTCCATAGAAACCAAACCAAGCATCACCAACTGCTAAACCCATTAAGGGAAATTTTTATGATCCATATATTATTAAACATAAAGCCACATCATCACAAGGGACAATCTGACCAATATGACCCCACGTGCATGTGATTTCAATTTATAATCAGAATAATGAGGCAAATTTATATCATATACTTACCAATAATTTGTAGTGTATATGATAAATCACCAGAAGTGTTTAATATAGACCTAAGAATAAGAATCTAATGATAAAAAAAAAACATACTAAGGCCATGATGTACAATAGCTAGTTAATACTCTTCAAAAAATATTAGTCTATAGATAACACATGTTCTTGCTTCTCGTGCAGACCTGTGTTCTAGTGTTGATATATATGTGTTTATGTGGGAGTGATGGTGGCTAGAAATCAGGAAACTAGAAAGGGACGCATGAGAGGGGAGGGGTGGGTGATAGACCATGTAACCAGAAAGTGGATTGTGCAGGGCGGGGGTGGAGAAGGGAAGTAGGGAAAGGGACAGACCAAAACAAAATATGTCTGAAAGGCCACAAGGGTTCTGTTCATTTGTTTTCCAACTGCAAACTATTTTTACAGTGTCTTCTACAAAAGGAAAGAGCAACCGGGTAAGGGAGTTCTTCCATCTCCATGATATTGCCCTGCCATGACCATCAGAAGGCCGTGTGTGCTTATTACACTAATAGCATCACCATGGTACTGTATTTCACGGTGAGGTGGTGCTACTGGCCCTCTGCAGACCACCTTCTTCATGGGAGAAGCGTACCAAGGTTAGGAGGTCTGCAACTTACATTCACACTGTCCAAAAGAAAAACTAACGTGAGAAACGGCCAAGGCAAAGGAGGCAAAATGTTGCAAATCAGTGAGTCCACATGAAGGGCATGGAGAGTTTTGTCATTCAGTTGCCCAACCAAGGATTTTTCTTAACTATTAAAAAGTAGGAGAAATAAAAGTCAACATGGGTTGGAGAAAATAGCTCAGCAGGTAAGAACACTTGTTGCTCTTCTGGAGGGTTTGAGATCAGCTCCTGCCTGTCACTCCCGGTCCAAGGGCTTCTGTGGGCACCTGTACACACACATGCCATACATACACAGACACACATTCATAAATAGTAGTAAAAATAAAAATAAAACAGACAATGGTGGCGTATGGCTTTAGTCCCAGCATTCGAGAGGCAGAGGCAGACAGATCTCTGGTGTCAAGGCCAGTCTGGTCTGCAGAGAGAGTTTCAGGATAACCAGGTTTATACAGAGAGACCCTGTCTTGAAAAAAAAAAAGACACACAAATAGATAAATGAATAAATAAACAAACACAATTTCTTGAAAAAGAAAAAAAACAAACAAAATTCATTTTTAATGTTTTTTTAATTCATGTGCCTACTTCAGCAATAATGAATCCCAGGTTTCACATAGATGCACAATATGAAAGGTAGATAAATGTTACAAATTATGATATAATCAAGACTTACAACAAAGCTATGTAGGAGTTAGGCAGCATGGTTAAGTTTGATTATATTAAAATTCTATCCCTATTACAAAATAAGAATAGAGGCTATGGATGCCAGTCTCCCTGGTTCCTAATTTCTCTGCTCCTCTCCCACACAAAACCTTAGAAATTGTTTGACTACACTGGAAATACAGAATTCTTTTTTTTTTTTAAACAAAAGCATTCAGATGTTAAGAACTACAATCCCCTTCACAGGTACAATCTACTCTTGAGCAGCCTGTAAGCCATTGACAAAGTAACTCCATAGCCAGCAAAAAATGCCAAGGCCCTGTTTGGCTGAGGAAGGGGAGTCAAGTAGGCGATTGTGTGGTAGATCCGAGCACCAACAAAGATCCTGAAGTGCATGAGGGCCGTTGAGAGGTCTGGACCACTCAAGGAGTAGAGGAGGCCGATACCAAGGAAGGGAACGATGTTTTCAATATCGTTTAGGTGGGCTCTGTGAGACAAGATGGTGACATAAAGTTCAAATCAGTAGGAAGGGACGCATTCTTCCCTCGCTTCTAAAACAGAACACAGTCTTAACGGATGGAAGGGTTGGGTTAGGTTGGGTTGGGTTGGGTTGGGCTGGTTTGGGTGGGCTGGGTTGGGTTGGGTTTCATCTGGTTAGAGCCAAGGTGAGCTGAAGCTGGCCTGAAACTTATTCTGTAGCCAGACTCCCCTCAAACTCATAGTCCTTCTGCCTCTACTTATAAGTGCTGCGGTTACACAGGGGAATCCACCACACCTAACGATGCTAGAGGATCTTTACTACAAAGGAAGAATCTCGATTTTCTTCCCAGCTGTCTCGCTTCCTTACTAACATGGTTTTTATTTAGAACATCACATTTTGAAAATTTTTAGTTTATCTTGAGATGGCAGTTTACTGTGTCTTGATTACTAAAACATCATCTATCTAGAAAAACACACAACCTTTTCATAAGTATGAGATCGCTTTCTTTCAAGTTTCTTTTGATGAAAATTTTTGTTCCCAAAGAAAGAAAATTCTTTCTTTTATGGTCTTTCTCAAAACAACCCCTTCAGAACGTTTTCATTTCAGAGGTCACACAGAAATTCCTTGGTACAAACCACCACCAAGTCCCAAGCTCTTTCACATCCAGACAAAACCATCCCACTGGATGGATATGGGAGCAATTTCAGACATTCTATATTCAAACCACAGAAGAAAGTAGCAACAAAAGGGCAAAAGTGCAGGTCTACACAGAAATGACAGAGTGTGGGGCAGGGAGAAGCTAAAAGAAAGAGAATATGATTTCTTAGAATCCGTCTGTGTACCACCATTAGAAGGAAGCAGAAAACATTTTCATTAGAATTTTCCCTCTGTCTTGTGGTACCTTAAGACTTTCCTGACTTGGACTATGAAGAAAAGTACATCCATTATTGATCTGGAAAGTTTTACGTGCATAAGTACTAAATCGAGTGCCCTTTATTAAGCACCGAATTAGGAAAATTGGTTTGCAACCTAGCCTAGAATTTGGTAGTATCAGCAGATTAGAAAGTGCTTGTATGTCATGTGACTGCCTCCTGTTTTGTCATAAGTGCACAGTGTCCTCTGCATGGTGTTTTCTTTACCTCCATTCCTGCTTTCCCTAAGAGCCCAAGACAAAAATCAAGCTGTCTGAAGTCATCAGAGACCTGGGGAAGACCTAGAAGTGTTCACCCCACTTCTCTCACGAAACCACCTAGGGCATGTACGGAGGGGTAGATGAGAAGGCTGAGGAACAAGATCTGCTGGGAGAGAGCCTGTCACCTCACTCCAGGGCTCATTGCTTTGGCCTCTGAATCCTTCTGAAGGCAATAGAGATATCTTCTCCCTTCTTCTTTTTTTTTCAGATTTTTTTTTAATTTGAATTAGAAACAAGATTTTTTTACATGACAATCCCAGTTCCCTTCTCCCACCCGTCCTCCCCTACCACCCACCCCAACTAAAACCCTACCTATCACATCCCCTTTCTGCTCGCCCTGGATGGTGAGGTCTTCCATCGGGTGTCATCAGAGTCTATCATATCCTTTGGGATAAGGCCTAGGCCCACCCCTGGGGGCCTGGCTCAGGGAGGATTCCTCTATGTGGAATGGGATCCCAAAGTCCCCACTTATGCTAGGGATAAGTACTGAACTACTACAGGAGGTCCCATAGATTTCCAAGGTTTCCTCACTGAAACCCATGTTCCTGGGGTCAGGATCAGTCCCATGCTGGTTTCCCAGCTATCAGTCTGGGGAACAAGATTTCTCCGACGTTCAGGTCAGCTGTTTCTGTGGGTTTCACCAGCCTGGTCTGGATCCCTTTGCTCTTCACTCGTCCTTCTCTGCATCTGGATTCCAGTTCAGTTCAGTGATTAGTTGTAAGTGTCTGCTTCTACTTCTACCAGCTGTTGCATGAGGGCTATCGGGTGGTATATAAGTCAGTCATCAATCTCATTATCAAGGGAGGGCATTTAAGGTAGCCTCATCCCCTGGAGAAGGGGAAAGGGTCAAGATCCCCTGAGCAAATTGGGAGCACGGCAAGAGGGGGGAGGGAGCTAGGAGAATGAGAAGGGGAGAAGAGGAAGGATGCAGAGGACATGAGGGAGCAGAAAGGCTGAGTCAGGGGAAGAATAGAAGAAAACAAGAATGGAGCTATATAATAGAGGGAGACATTTTAGGTTTTCAGAGAAATCAGGCACTAGGGAAATGTCTGGAGATCTACAAAGATGACACCAGCTAACAATCTCCCTTGTACTTGTGTGCATTTGTGTGTGTGTGTTCGGCCATGTTACATGGTACTGGTAAGGGTGTGGCTGCACAAGGAAAAGCAGACAGATGTGAAGACCAAAGGAAAACCTCAATATTTCTCTTCAGAAACCACCAACTTATACTGTTGGGTTTTTTAAAGATAAGGTGTCTCAGTGGCCTGGAACACCCAGGGTTGCCTAGGCTGACTGGCCAGTAAGCCTCAGGGATCCACCTGCCTCGGCCTCCCCAGCAATGGGATTTCGAGATTGTTCCACCACTCCCAGCTCTCCTTATGAACCTGCCAGGTTCGTTATCTTTAGCAGCTCCTGGGCTCGATTAGGAGGGAGATAATACACTTCATGCAGGAGTGACCACTTTCTTCCTAGATGGATTCCCCCTGGCCCTATGACAGGTGCCTCATGCTATGGCCAACCTTCCCACAAAGGCTTGGGAGACATTGTCACAGTCCACTCCCTCAGGTCAGGCTCTCTGGTTTTTCAGCATCTCCTGAGCTGGACAATAGTTGCTCTGAGCTTCTAAATGAATTGTTGGCCAGGCAGTGGCCAACTACGAAAGGGGTCAGGGATAGGGGAATCCAGCCATATTTCCATGATGCCCTTCACTCAGACAGGGCTCTGATTCTATGCATACAGTGGTGTGTCTAAATTCTCACAAGGAGTTTGCTCAAATTAACATAACCTCTCATCATCATGTCTTCTTCCTTCATGAAATAGTCCAAAATGCCACTGGGATGTCCTCCTTGCATTCCACCATGCCATCACAGGCACAGACCACTGCTTCATGTCATTGCCTGATTACTGCATGAATGTTGCTCTCCTATCTTCTTGGAAGATCTCTGATGGCATCCCAAGGAAGGTTGGACCATGATACTCATCTGAGAACCTTCTAGAAGCTGCTTTGATCATGAGCTGTGGTGCCAAAGGACATCATGTAGTTCAACCTCTAACCCATCGCTCAGCCTCTTGATGGAATCCTCACTTGGGTCCCTCAGGCTCCGCAGAACATTCTGGAGGCAGGGTGTTCTTCACCTCTGAAGACAGTGTGCTATCGGCTCCTGGCATTTCCCTGAAACTAAACTCAACTTCTTTAGAATAACTCCCTTCATTCTTCCAGCCTTCTTGATTCCCTTTCGAGTTTCATTTGTCTTGAAGTACTGGGTGTGTGGGGGGGGGGGGTTGAATTCCTCTCAGAATAATGTGAAATAGGATTGAGTAGATAAACCAGCATGTGTAGTGTTTGCTAATCAGTCCTGGCTTGTGTCTGTTTAGAACTCTTGTACTGACAGTTACATTTCTTGACATCCCAACACATACTACTTTAAGCTTGCAGCTAATTGCCCTACATTTATACGTGTTAACTTTCCATACATATTCAAGGATAGCATCCATTTCGTTTGTAGCACCACCCTGCCTTTTGACTATGGAAATGGCAAGAGGTTTATAATTACATATTGAAATAATGAGAGGGAAATCCTGCATTGAAAATAGGAAAAGGAGATTCTAAAAACTTCTTAGGAAATTTATTTCACAGAGTGTTATTAGTATTTTATTTGATGAGGCCAATCAATTCTCAAAAATATGCAACTGAGGAAAAAAAAAGTTGCTGTTGCTACACTGTAAGTTCAGATTCTGATCACCAGGGGGCGCTGTGGACACTGGTGCTATACCGCGCTAGGCAGGTATAGCTAAGGTCTATGGCATTAAATGTCAGTTACATTTATTTGTAGTCTGAGAAGAAGATCAGACTAGATTATAGATTCCTCCTCTAAAAGTACCCACATGAGGGTGAGGATGGCAGATGGGATAAATAACAAAGAGAGTCTGATCTCTTAAAATAAAATGGTTTTTTAAGTTTCCATATCGGCAGAGGCTTGCGTGTGCCTCTCCATCTTGCTAACAATGCCACTACAGTGCTGTTTGTGTTTCCCAGTCC